CCTTATCAATCTTCGGTCTCTTACCTTCATGTTTTATTTTCTGAACTCTTCTGGTCTTTGCTTACCTTCCTTTTCTTTGGCTTAGGGTCTCTTGTTGGTTTGACCTCCTAAATTCTGGGATTATGGGCTTGCACCAACCACCACACCCAGCCCACCACTTTAATTTCTAAATGTAAGCTTTTTACTAGCCTCTAATTGCTGGCTTCTCTTCTTTTGAAGAAGGCTATGAAAACACATAGTTGCTTCACACTTGCTACCAAGGACTGGTTAAATCCTGCTCCAAAGTTTAGCATGTGGTCAGTGTCCCTAAGGCAGGAACTTACTTAAGGGCTGAAGCAGTGCGACTGTCTGAATTGTGATCCTTGTGCTGAAGCCCTAAGCTGTGAGGGAATATCAGTGAAGAATCTAAGAGCCTTCTTTTTTATGTTTATAGTTTTCTACATTTTTACATCTATAGTTATTTTAAAAATGAAAAGTTAAAACAAAATATGTAAACCAATTATCTGAAAGGTGAAGAAGTCTGCCTCCTTCCATACCCATGATCCTTTCTGTTTGTCCCTTCATTACCACCATCTGATCTCAGATGAGGAGGATTAATAACAGACTGTAGTCTTCTATGCATATGCTATGACCAGAGAAGGAGAATCCAGTCCAAGACAAGGCAGGACAGTGCTCACATGGCTTCTCTCAGCATCTCAGCTCCCACAAACAGGACCAACTACCAGACGCCCTGAGGACTTGATGCACCAAGTTCCCTGAAACAGCTTTACAAAATGTCACAGTCAGCTCCTATGAAATATCTGTTCTGTTAGGTTTCCGCTAGTGTGTGTGTGTGTGTGTGTGTGTGTGTGTGTGTGTGTGTGTAGAAAATACATCATAAAATATATTCAGTAAATAACAGCTACAGAGGTAATGTTATAACCACTGTTTCCTGTGTAGTTTTAAGTGGATGCTGTGAGCTACCCACTGACATGGGAAGAAAACATTGCTACTCAAATCACAGATGAACAGAGTGAGACAGATGGACAGAGTAAGACAGAGTACTTCATGTGCTACTTTGTACTCCTGGTACCAGGTATGTCATTGTCTTTGCAAAGCTACCTGTCACAGGGACCCACTGATGTATCCTGACAGACAGCGCAAGCTCAGTAGACTTTTCATCACAAAGCGGCTCATTCTCTGACAGAATATGGGTTTCAGTCTTTGTGATTACATACCATGTGACTGATTCAGGATCTAATTAAAAATAAAGATAAAATTAGAATTAGATAGGCAAAGAAATTTCCAAAACCTTTTCATGTATACAAAGTTGTGTACAAAAAAACTATTTTATATTTCAAACATATCCTCAGTTGTTGTAAGGATTATACTTCCTACAAATGCATACTAGATGTGAACAACACAACAGCCTGCACTACTACCCTGCTGCTAACTTACTTCTATAACTTTGGTCTATAATTTTGTTTTTAAGGTGATACAAATATTATTTTACTCCATTATTTTTCTAATAAAGAGGACTCAGCTTTGATAATGGCAAAGGTGAAGGTCAGGAAATCCAAGACTGAACTCAGAAGAGCACAGCACCCACCTCCCAATCACCTGAGAATGGGTGCATGGGCAGAGACTTCCTCCTCAAGCAGACTGTCTAGCTGCCCTTCACTCCCTCCCAACTATGTCTGGACCATAGGAGAGAAGAGGAACCCCAAAGAGGAAGGTGTCTGAAGTCCTAGGTTCCCATTTTAAGTACTATGAATGCACAAAAGTTAGTCAAACTTAGGAAATCTTACTTTGCAAAAGGGTATGTGTTTAAGGTGAATCTGGAGAAAATTGTGTTTTACAGTTCACTGGGGTCCCGGCACAACAGAGGTGACATTGATGAGCCAGAAAGCTGAGTGGGGCCTATGACAGAGGAGAGTGTTTGCCTGCCTGGATCAAGTGGATGATACTTAGCAGAAGCAAGTGCAGTATCTAGTAACCTGGTCTTGTTAGATGCTCTGCAAATTGCTTGTCACTTTAGGAAGAATCTCTTAAAACTGAACATGTACACTTTCTATGTGGCAATAATTCCATTTTCAGATGTACATCTAACAGAAACACATACACAGGCTGCCTGCAATACTTTGAGTGTTCACATAAATATTAGCCCCAAACGGAAAATACTCCAGAAGGCTTCCCATAGTGAACTATATAGATACTCTGTGATAGATCTTGGGAAAGTCTATTCAGCTATGAGCAGGAATGAGCCTCAGGTGCCTATGATGGCCTGGAACAAACTCACAGACACAGCCATGAATACGTGCAGACAGACCAACATCCTAAGCCATGCTGTGAGGATTTGGAGATCTTCAGAGGACCCACCTGCTGAAGGCTTGGTCTCCAGTCTGTTTGCTATTGGGAGGTGTCCGACTCTAGGAGCTGAGGTCTAGAAGGAAATTCATCACGGTGAAGCATGCCCTGAAGAGGATATTGTATCCCTGGCCCCTTCCTTTCTGTCTTTGTGTCTCTTTCTCTGCCTCTCTTTCTCTCTCTGAATTCTGGATATGAATAGAGAAGAAATTTTCTCTGTCATATGATCCGACACTGATGCTCTACCTCACCACAGGCCCCCAAGCAAGCAATGGCACCAACACAGCTTCTATCTCTGAAACTTTGAAATTTTCCTCCTTCTAAATTATCTGAAGCATTTTGTTACAGGAATAGAAAGTTGGCTAGCAAGCATGCCATCCCTACAAAGCTGAAAAGGAACAAGTCTATGCTTTGCTGGTAAAAGTCAGAATGGTGACCACGTTGAACCACGGAGGAATGTGGCAGTCTGTGGGGTGACAGCAAAGTGGCTGTGGGAATTGATCCGCTTTAAAGAAATGAGTCGTGGTGTGATCAGTACAGCTGAGGTTACAAAGCATTCATGCATGTGTTCCTCACTAATTTTTACATCCACATCATCTCACACTTGAAAGACCTCCTCTTTCCACATGGGCTCAAGGACTGTCTCTCCTGGTGCCCTGTGGAGCTAATGCTTTGATTTCAGATTCTCTGGATCCTCTTAGCTCAACTCAGAGGACTAGTTCAGTAGCCTCTAATAGTTACTAAAAATCATGATTCTTGACTGGGAATTTAAAGCAAAAGATGCTTTGTTACAGGCAAACACAATAGGATTGTTGTTGTTTCCTCCCGAAATAAGTTAGAATAATGTCAAGATGAAGGAACTCAGAGAACAAGGGAGATCCCCATATGTAGTCATTGCATTACTTAATCTTAATTCTATTTTCTAGTATTCAGGAAAAGAAAAAAACCTTCTACTTGATCAATTGGATTTTCCTTACAATTTCACATATGAGAAAAATAGAATTCAGTTTTACACTGATTGAAATAAAAATATGTCAAAAGCATTTTATTTTTTTTAATATTTTATTATTTTTATTTTATGTGTATGGGTGTATTGCCTGCATGTAGGTAAGTGCACCCATGTTGTGCAATGCCCATGGAGGACAGAAGAGTCTGTCAGATCCCCTGAAACTGGAGTTAGGACAGTTGTTAGCTGCCATGTGGGTGCTGGGATTCGAATCTGGGTCTTCTGCAAGAACAACCAGTGTTCTTAATCATTGAGCCATCTCTCCAGCTCCCAAAAGCATTTTATAAGGCTGCCTTCTAATATCTGCTGACAAAACATGTTAATTTGTTTAAAAAGAATATTGGTGCATGCTAGATTATAGTACTCTATAAGCCTATTGAAATTCAAATTTTTGTTAAACTTGATGATCTGAGAAATAACGATAATATGTAGACATGAAACGGTCTTTTGTAGACTTGGAAAGTAGCCACACTTTATTATTCAAGCTATATAGCATTTGCTACTTTATAAAGCCCAATAATGTTTCTCAAATGACTTTTCGAATGTACAGTTGTATAGAGAAAAATCAAAAGATGGGTGTTGCCAGACAAACTCACCAGACTACAAGGCAGAAGGCACAGTACTTTTATTTGGCAATCAAAGGTAGCAGCAACACTAGGAAAATCACTGGCCACTCCCCCCCCCCCCCCCCCGCCCCGTGTCAAAGTCCTCCCCCACCTACCACTTCCTCTTTTCTTCATTAATGTTTCATAAAACAAAATAAATTGCCAAGTACATTTCACTTGAACCCAAAAGCAAAGACATAGGAAGCAAATTTAAACATCTGGTTTGTGACACAAAGTTTAAATTATTTGCTTTCTTTCTTATGAAATGGACACCTTTAAAATAATGTAAAGTGGATGGAAAAACAAATGTCTTCCATCTACTCTTTATTTATTTTTGAGACATGGTCTCATGATAGCCCTGGCTAGCCTGGAACTTGCTATGTAAACCAGGCTGGCCTTGAACTCACAGAGATCTGATTGTCTCCATAGCCTGAGTGTTGGGATTAAAGGTGTGCACCATCATTCCCAACTCCATCTACTATTTAATCTAACGAAGTAAGTGTCTGGGGGAATTCCCTTTTAACTAACAACATAAGAAGACAAGAAACAAAGGAAGGCAAGATACAGATGTTATGTAGGATGCTTATGCAGCATTCTCAAGTACGATTCTCCATAAAGTGAAAGTCAAGACCTTGTCCTCTGAGACAGGATCTTCATAAGGACCCAGTACATGTCTTCCCCTGACTTCAGATGATAGAAACTTTGATTAAACCTCCGCTGTTATAAAGCAATAACACGAATGTCTCTAACGGCTGGGATACCTGAACTACCATAGCAGCAGCATGAAACAGAACGGGAAATACAGAGAAATGCTATCACTTTACCATCAGTGAGTTCACAAAGGAGGGTTTCATGTAAGGGCAGCTAGTGCCATTTTCATTAGTGCTTTACATGCATAAATTGGTTTTGACCCACAGTAAAATTTTCTAAAGGAACTGAAATGTCCCATAAAAAAATACAGATGAATCCACAAATGAGGGAATTATTTCTTTCCTGTGAAAAATATCTTGATAAAAGATAATATTACATATATAATTGCAAGCTTGAACTAAGCCAAAACACAACAGTAACCTCTTTTCAGTCCAATTATTTAATGCTTTAAATCTAAACATTTTAAAAAATAAGTTTATTTTTAACTGACTTTAAACTTCTAAGCATTTTTGTCTGTACCAAATCCAAGATTTCTTGAATGTTTTAACTTTCCATAGTATGAAGAGAAGAAGAGGAGCCTATTTCATGCGAAAGAGAAAATAGATCCTGAGGTTTTCCATAAATGCTTCAATGTGGTACAGATGGGCCCAACACCCAGAGTGAATATTTGAAGAACTCATTTCTGCTCTGTGAACCACGAGTCTTCCAAGGCAAGCAGCCAGGCCCGTACATTGGCATAGGACTGCGGAGCATGGGCTTCCCGGTTCTGTCTTTCTGAAAATGGGCTCCTTTTCTCGTAATTCACATGACACACTTTGGTTGTGGTTTGCTGTTAAATTTCCTGTTTTGGACCAGATTCAGCAAACCAAAACAAACAGCTCACAGGAAAGGCTATGGTGACGCTTTTTCCCTTTTGGTTTTTCAGTTAGGCACTTTCCCCTGTGAGATGCAGGGAATGGCAGAGAAGTCACGCACTCTGCTCAGGAAGGCTGTCACAGCAGTTTCAGGGCCCCGAAGAAGGTGCCATCTCCATCCCGTGAAATCTGAGCATTCTCTCGGGGTATTGCAAGCTGAAGTTCATCTCCTTCTTCCAACCTTGCGATGCCTAGAAAGAAGGATTGACATGAACTTTGAGTGGTTGTCGAATGGAAAATGCCATTAAAACTACTACACTACACGGTGTTAACACAAGCACTCACACTCCACACCAATGGACTGATAAACTACCTATAATTCTGTGAATCTTAAAGTGCATAAAAAAACCAGTAGAAGAGACAACAGATTCTAATAGATGTGGAGACCACTGTGTGTAGAAGGGCATTCAAATAGTAAATCAATACCAAGTGAATGTTACCTGGTTCTGTGAGAGAATATTATATAGTCAGTGATAGATAATTTAGTTACTAAAGAAAATGTTTTATGAATATTAAATAAAATACGAAAGTTATACACATGTATATATGTGCATATATACATACATATGTATGACATAATGGGTAGTCCTTAATTATACCTAGTTTTCATTTGAGGTAAGTTAGCATGATAGAAGCCTCTTTTTGTTAAAATTGTATTTATTGTGACTGTGTGAGTGTACATGGTATGTGCGGGCACACATGCTACAACATACATGTGAGGTCAGAGGAAAGCATTGTGAAGGTTCTCTCCTTCCAACTTTATGTGGGGTGTGGGGATCAAATTCAGGTGACCAGGTTTGCATGGCAAGTCCCTTTACCCACTTAGTCATCTCACCAGCCCCTAAACTAAATGCACATTTCAACTATAAATATTTTTAAACAAAGAAAGAAAACACTGGGCATGGTGGTGCTTGCCATCCTCAGGAGGCTGAGGCAGAAGGAGACCTATAAGTTCAAAGCCAGCCCTGGCTACATATTGAGCTCAAATTCAGCTTAGGTAACATAGTGAGACCCTGTCTCCAAATTCCAAATTAAATAAATAAACAAATAGCTAAGAATATAAATCCTATAACAAAGCATATCATTTAACAGTTTTTCTCTGAGTCTAGGCTGTGGCTCTGGCATCATTTGAGGGTCCTTTTGCAGCCTTCTACATTTCAGCCTTCCTTAAATGGCTCTACTTGTCTTTATGATCAAAAGCCACAAAGTAATAGGCTCCTTAAAATGGACAATATATCTGTGAACCTGATTTACAATGATGCGTCCTGTGAACTAGAAAAGGGAAACGTAATTTAGGGACCCCATTCAGCATAGTGGGTAATCATTAGTCACATTTCAAAAGAAACATATGAAAAGGAAGAAGGAAAAGGAGGGAGGGGAAGGAAAAACCAAAGAAACACGATTAGTAGTATCTGCGTTCTCACGCTTCGTTATAACTTAAAAACATTAACAGACAGTGAACGTTTACTTCTACAAGCACATTTGTGGTAACATCTGTTTTGTTCTGAAGCCCAAGTGAAGCTGGAGTATCCAGTTTCCTCTGGCCACAGTCCAGTCTTGGTTTAAAGAACACCTACTATGTGTTAGTCACCCATGCTGGCATAGGCCAGGGATCAAGAAAGGCAAAGTTTTTGTCCCTAGCTCTTGTTTTCCACATCAGTGAATGTGTTCTGGAATTGACAATTCATTAAAGGGTTAACTCCTTAAAAAGTAAAAAAGTTTGACAAACGATCAGAAGATATTTATTGCATATATTTGTGGTTGTCATAGATATTGGAATGATCTAGCACTTTGAGCACAGTTAACACTAAGAGCAGTAAGCAATGATAGCTCTAGAGGTGACGTGGATGTGAACCACTACACAGTCCCACTAGAAATTCCAACACTGAGTTACTGACTATTTCCGTTTTTCTAGACTGTGGCAACCATCTGTAATGATTTTCCTGCAAGAAGTAAAGTCAGCTTATTACAGAAATAATGGTTCATCTTTCTATATAAAAGTGGTTGCATAGTACCATGCTAGGCAGCTTAAGCTAACCTCTTGGGACCATGAAACAAACTCATCCTAAAACAAATTAAAGCTGCAAGCCTGAATCTTCTGGGAGTATGGTTCTCATGTGCAACACTGACCTATTAATTTTGAGAAAAATCTTTAAATTCAAAGGTAAAATGCCTGTGAAATTGGCCAGAATTCACCCATAGAAAGGAAGCCTGGGAGAAGAAAATGGTTGGAGATTTGTTGGCAAGAGTTAGTTGTGAGTCTCTATAGTGAATATAAATAAATAACAGATTGGAGAGGCCTTGTCATTGATAAAGATTTTGCAATTTTAAAATGCTGGTCAGCACTGGGCACAGAGACATGTTTCTTTATGAAAATTAGGGACTTCCGACTGACTTCCCCCTGGCCTCTGAAGCTGTGTGGGGCTGCAGACCTAGGGCGGCATCTGTGATGGAGATGGGTCTTCCTTGGCTGGTTTATTGGCCATTGGTTTGAAGTGTTTCCCAATCTTGGGCTCCACGCTGTTGTTTGTTGTAACTGTCTGTCTGATACTGAAGACATTCTTCAGGGTTCTGAATAGATTTATCAAAAACAGCAGAGAGAAACACACATGTGTAAGGCAAATATAGCTTTTGAAAACCAGTGTCAATTAACTGGAAATAAAGTGAGAGAGATGTTGGTCATTTCAGTGCAAGCACACCCAGAACTGGCACAGCCTGCCCTCTTCTGTGCCTGTTCCCCACTTCACCCCAGCTCAAGGCAGGGCTGCTGCTACGGTTCTGGGTCCCCAAGTCACTCCTCAGTTGTGCATTTGCACTGAGGCCCCCTATCTGACCAGCATTTGCAACCTTCCCCTCCAATTGGATTCATTTCTTCCACTACATATTAAGAGTGTGTGGCTTACACTGTGAGGCCAGACTTGCTCTGGTTAAAATCAAATTCTCTACCTTGGGGCTGTGGAGCTCAGGAGCTCTGTGGCTCAGATTCTCTCCAGGAATGAGAAAGTTAAATGAGTGAACAGGAAACAGACTGGCAGACCATGACACAGACAGAATACAGAACAGCAAAAGAAAACCCCGACATTCCACAGTGTGGACTCTGGCTCCTGTATCTGACTGCTACTAGATACTTTACTGTTGCTGCTTTTATAAACCATGAAACAAAATCCATCCTAAGATTGTCCCTCTCATGACCTCTGTGCAACATGGTTACCTGCACAAGACCAGCATAAGATCAGGCCCCACATTCCCTTGGATGACGGAGGGACTCCTGAGACCCCACCCCTCCCTGAGGGACACTGGCAGCTAATGGCTACTGAAGGAGGGAGTGCCATTTTCTTCAGTACTGTAGCCACTGAGAAGCTGATGTGCTCCATAAAATAGCCTCCCACCCATGCTCCTGAAGCAGCCTTATTTAAACTCAATGGGTCACAGATGCTTAAAAGACAGGAGAGTAGGCAGCCTTATGGGATTCAGTGGAAGACGGAGGGGCAAGAGAGAGGGTAGTGTGGGTGCAAACAACTAAAATTCTTTATATGCATGTATGGAACTGTCAAAGAATAAAGAGAAGAAGGAAGTGTCCCAATAGAGAATTACACAAAGTTACCCCCTTCTCAATTTACATGAAAGAGGTATTACTGTGAGAAGGGATGTTCTCAACTAAAACAAAACAAGATTAAAAATAAAAAGCACAGTATCGAGAAGGATGTCTTTCTGTTTCTATTCGAAGGCACCATTTGTGGTTCAGACTTCTTACACACTGCAGTATATCCATTCTGCTAAGCAGTCTGAGGGCTGCCACTTACCAGCTGAATAGCAGGAATTATTGGGTAGCGTTTCAGGCATATTCTGAATACACCGGAACAATGTCACCAGACTCAACTCGTCCCCGAAGACATGTACTTTCTTCCTCTGGATGAGGTGACCCATGGCAAAGATTTTGTCTGTGTACAGAACCTGAGAAGCGAACCGAAGTGTGGTGTCAGAGGTGCAGGAACACTGGAAACATGGACCACAAGGCAGAATGAGGGCTTGCGCCTACCTGACCATAGATGAAGAAGTAACCAGTTTGTCTCACCACTATTTTGTTCTCTTTTTCTTCCAGAGCATTTCCTCTCTTGAAGCTGAGAAGCCATGGCACAAACGTGTAAGATCCTACAGCAAAGAGAGCCACTCATAAGAAAGTAAACCTTCCCTTCTACTACGTTCAATTTGAAACAGAATTTCATAGACACGGGAGAAAGGTAATGGGGGGAAGAAGAAAAATTATCATTCTCCATTGACTTATTTTCTGTTACTTTTATATTAACCCAGGTAACTGTCAAATGTAGGAGTCTAAGAAATCTCACTCCACAGGAGGGTTTGGGTTTTCTTTTATTATTCTTTATTTCAGTTATTTCCTTATAAAGGTTGGTTTGGGTGGGAGGGCTTGACACAAAGAATGGACATTTATCTGTACAGCTCACTAGGTGAGTGAGTCTCCTTTGATTTCTTGAGAGGAGAGGGTGATTAGGTGAAGAGTTTAGCAAGTCCACCCCCGTCCTGGTAACAGAACCGGGCTCAGGGGAATGCAGAAGGGAGCTGAGACATGCTTTCCCTGGGGAGTGCTCAGACCCTGTGCACCAATGGTCTACAATATTCAGGTTGAGGTGGTTTCTGTCCAGTATGCTGAATCTTCTTAATTATGTCTGAAAGTCACTCGAGAGTGACAGAAAGCTGGTGTGTTCAAGGTTAGGCTGAGGGTTGACAGAAAGGACAACCCCAAAGCTACAGGCAGGAAATAGTCACTGAGCCAGGGTGTAGCCTGAGAGCTTGTGAATGACAGAGCAGAGTGCAAACATGCCTTTCCTGGGAACTCAGATTTACTCTCCAAGATGTTCTCACAGCTCTGATATGTAAATATCAGCTCAGCATTAGGCTGAACATCAAGCACACGGACTGGGAAACGAAGGGAGGTGTAAATAAAATGATGGGGATAAGTGACAGATTAGGAAGATGGTACTATGAGGACAGAGGAGAAAAGTCAAGCTCTGGTGTGAGTCTAAATTGTGGCAAAATGCTCTTGTGCAGCTGGCAATGGTGAGCCACATCTATCTCTCAATTTCGCCTTGGTCATAGCAAGACAGTAATGAAGTCAGTCCAAATTCAGAGTCCAAGAGAGACACTATTCTGGAACCTCAAGCAAAGAACAACATTCTGGCTTGAAATTCAAGAATCTTTTCTCCCAGGGAGTCTCATCCTGGGATATAGCACTGTTTTATGGTAACTGGCAATATTTTACCATCCCATGAACACAACTGCTAGGGTATGTGCCTAGTCACAGAACATCTCCACAGCAATCCAGTCATTTTTAAATATGTCCAAACAAGATTTATCTTAGAGTTTAGTTGACAGGTTAAAACGTTTTTATTTATCATGTACATGATGTTCAGAACCACACAGAGAAAGATCTATGGAGGAGATAAAGATAAGTGGAGGAGCTGAAGCAATCTGACATATTTTTAGAACATAAAGTTGTCATCTGGTCGTGAAAATTCTTAAAATGTACTTTGTTAGCATTTTTGAAGACTATAGTAAATACACTGCTATGCTGGGCATCATGTTATGTAGTCACTCTCCTGAGCCCATTCCTCCAGTCTGAAGAAAATGCTGCACCCTTTGACCAATATCCCCCAAACCTCCCCAGCCTCTGCTGACCACCATTATTCTCTCTCTCTCTCTCTCTCTCTCTCTCTCTCTCTCTCTCTCACCCCCACCCCCCCCAGCCTCCGCCCCCCACTCTCACTCTCTCTCTCTCTCTCTCTCTCTCTCTCTCTCTCTCTCTCTCTCTCTCCTCTCCCCTCTCTCTACCTCTGTGAGGTCTATGGATTTAGATTCCCTATGTGACCATATTCTTCTTTCTGTGCTTGGCCTTTGGGCTCATCCATGCTGTGACAGGGACAGGAGATCCCTTCTTTTCAGTGGTCAAATGGAACTGAATTGTTTTCACGCCCCATGACATCCTTATCTGTTCATCTGTGGATGGACACTGGGTTGACTCCATTTCAGGACTACTATGAACAGTGAAGCTGGGAGTGCAAGCGTCTCTTTAATATATGGGTTTCTTTTCCCTTGGCTATACATCCAGAAGCAGGACCGCTATACTACATCATTCAGTCATTTTGAAGGCCTTCATACTGTTTTCTGCAATGGATGTACTAATTTATATTCCTATTTCAAATATGACTCTTGAGGGAAGAATTCAAAACAAGAAACACATACTTTCTGAATATTTCTAACTAATGAAACAACACAAATGGCATTATAAATTCAGGTCATAATGAGTAGAGACCTATGAGGTAGCCACTCGAATTCACAATGCCATACAAGGGAAGAAAGAGGCCAGGGAGACTGGGGGAAGTAGGCAGGGAGGCAGGGATGCTGGAGGAGGAGTGTGAGCAGACTGGTACAGTGCATCCTGAGTCCTTGTCCTCTCTGGCTCATATTCTTGTGGGCGCTCACTCCCTGGAGCCACCTCCATCACTTGTGCTCCCCAAGAGTGGCAGGCCCCTGAGGTGGGCAGGGCTAGACACCATACATTTCTTTATTTCAAGAAGCGTTCCAAGGAACATTTTCCTTAAATGAAAATACCCCAGCATGGTACTAGACAATAAACTCAGAGAACCAGAGATCACATCAACTGCAAATAACAAAGGCAAGCATTCTTTCCTTGTTTATATACAATATAATTTCAGTGAAAATACTGTAACAAATCAGTTTTTATTTTAATTAAATGATGTGATGTACCTAGAGTGTTTTAAATAGCTAAGTACTAACACCTTGAGTAGGATCGATAAAGACTGTTGTTGTAAAACACAAACTGATGACATTGAAGATGGCTGCTTTCATGGTTTATTAAAAATGAGATTATTTGAACATAGAGGGGTTTTTTTCCCCTAAGAACGTACATATCTTGGGCTATAGCTTCTTTGTGGTCGGACTGTTTAGGATTGACTCCTTGCCATTTCCCCAGGACTTAAAACATGTGCATCCCATAGCAGATGTGCAGCCAAAACTTGCTCAATTAGGAAGTTCAACTTTAAACATAAAATGATTCAAACAATATGAGTTCTCTCACAATTAGTCACAGGCACTCAGCTGTCTTTGTGAAATGTTTTGCTAAATATGTTCCTGAAATTTGGGGAAACAAAATGCCTCTCACTGTAGAATTGGTGTAGCTGCCTGGAATGAAGTAAAGTGCATGTTTCCAAAACTATCCTCTAATCTTCTGATTATTGGCATTTATTTACTTAATTTATTTACTAACTCTTTGTGCCATATCTATCTTGGCTTTTTGTAATCTCTTTTTTTGCAATATCCTTATTGAAGATATACAGTGCATGCTTACTTGGTTTTTGATAGGCTGATTTTTATTTTACGTGTATGGGTGCTTTGCCTGTATGTATGGAAGTGCACCACATGTCTGCAAACCCATGGATGCCAGAAGAGGGTATTGGAAACTTTAGTTTTTGGCCACCATGTAGGAACTGGGACCAAACCTGGTTCCTCTGCAAGATCATCCAGTGCTCTTAACTGCCAAGTCATCTGTCCAGCCTCTACTTGTTTTTACTTACTCTCCATATCCTTCTTCTATTCTATACATAAACACAGGCATATATACATATGCATGAGCACACACGTGAACACACATGCACACACATGAACATACATGCACATGCATGTGTGCCCACATGAACACATACACACACTCATATATATGCACACATCACAGGTGTTAGTCTCCAAGATCAGAGTTGGTTACAGTCAGCTGAGTTTTCAAATGCTGACAGAACCTAGGACATAGTATGCATACAGCAGATATATGCATATGCACAATTTCTAAATCCTTAAAGAAAGCAAACCAAATGATTCATTACAAGTGACATTAATTGTAAACTTAAGCATAAATATCACAGTATGGTTTTACATCTTAATACCTACTTAGATTTTACAGGGCTAGAGAGATGGCTCAGCGGTTAAAAGCACTTGCAAAAGACCTGGGTTCTATACCCAGCACCCACATGGCAGCTAACAACTGTCCATAACTCCAGGTCCAGGCAAATCGGATGCTCTCTTCTTACCTCTGTGGGCACTGCACAACATGGATGCACTTAACATACATGCAGGCAATACACTCATACACACAGAATAAAAATAAATTTAAAAAAAAAACATACTTAGGCTAGGTGTGGTGGCACGTGCCTTTAATCCCAGCACTTGGGAGGCAGAGGCAGGTGGATCTCTGTGAGTTCGAAGCCAGCCTGGTCTACATAGTGAGTTCCAGGACAGCTGGGGCTACAAGGAGACCCTGTCTCAAAAAGACAAAAAGAAAAACAAAACAAAACCAAACCCATATTTAGAATTTTAACCTATCAGTTAAACTACAGATGAACACAAATAAAACACATGTGCCAATGTGTCTCTGTTGAGAGATTTTCTAAATTAATATGTGACGCTTTGTGTGGCAAGTTTGTGAGGATCTGGGCATGGACTTGACAGGTCCTTATCAGTTGGAACACAGACACGCCTCCGTGGAGATGCGAGATGCTCACACATTCCTGCTTCACTCCACTTTAAAGCTCTAGTGTACTAAAATGCTTGCAAATTTTTAAAAAGGTTAATGTTTACATTAACATGTGAACGGAATATAAAGGTCAGTATTACTATGGAAATATAATTTGCATGTATTTATGGAAACATATGCCCTTAAAGTGTGTATTTTCTCTTTTCTAGTATTTATTGGAGAATTTTACATGAATGTTTTAATACAAATTTTTATAGAAAATAAGATATATTTTATTAATATTGGTTTTATTCTAATTTATAAGAAGGACATTTCTTCCCAAATATTTATACTTGAAACATTGCCTTCCTCGTGAACTGCAAACAACAGGCATCATTTGGAGCTATCAGCTTGCTTTACTTCCTTGGATTTCTAGTATATCCTAAAACTACTCAAAAGAATTTTGGGAGAGAAAACCTTATTTTCAAAGGTAGATTCAATAAATTACATCAAGAAGTTATATTTTTGTTATGGGAAAAAAAACACAGTTTGGCATTTCAATTGTGTTGGTTACGGTCAAGTGATTATTTGACTCTGGGTGAGTCAAGGCTGG